ATATCAGGAAGGATTTTCACTGTGTACCACCATTTCAAACATTTATATTGTGGAATCCATTTCCTCTTTGCTGACATCACCACCAACAAAGCTCCAACAGCTGTAACTACTACAGAGCTTCTGACAACAGTATCCATAACTGTCCCAGCCCATTGCACTCTACAGTAAACCACCACATTGAAAAACACATTGTCAGGCTCATGCACCTAAGTGAACAGAAGCCTGGACCTTGTGTCAGAAGGGTGAAAACCAAAGGAGAGATTAGGGTGAATCTAATGTGGCCATGAAGCTTCGTTGGGGCATTGCCAAGCTTGCTGCAATCTAAAGAAACTGAGAATGGTAGAGGAGATAATTCACAGAATGGTTCTGATTAACCAGAAGTATAAAGTTGGCTGAGTGTAAATATGTAAAATTATTTTCTTCATTTATAAATGTAACATTATATTCGAATTATAATTAAAGAGTACTCGTGCATTTTGTTATTAGTTTACATCTAAATATCCACTTTTGTATGTGATATTTGTCTTGTTCAAATTCCTTATTAAGAAGTATCTTTGTGTTTTAAGTAGACTTGTTATTGTCCAAAGAATTCGTTCTGTATTTTATTATTTGATCTTTACTAGAGGGATATATCATTAAGTTGCTACATATTTTGTGTTTAGTGAAATCTGTATCATCATTGTTAATGGTTGCTCGTTGTTTTAAACGTCAGAAGGATTTATTGTATTTTATATTTTTTTCGTATCACCATGGTAAAAATACACTCAATTATATCACTTCGTTGCATTTTATATTGTTTGTTTGTAGTGAAGTACAATACTACACAAAGGGTTATCTGTGATCTGCCCACCAAGGGTATCGAAACCCGGTTACTAGCGTTATAAGTCCACAGACATGCCGCTGTGATACAGGGTGGCGCATTTTATATTGGAATATTGTGTTGAAATAATTTAAGCTAAGTATTTTTATTTCTTTAAACTTCTTTTATTATTGCATTATTTAATGACATTTTTTTAGTTAATGCTAAATTATTTATTTACCTTTATTTTTATTCATCTCTATGTTTAATTTTACGAAATGAATTTTTCTGTGATACGGAATTTTCACTTTTTTCATTGTTTTTGTCAGAGTCAATTTCTCCTATCTGTTTTTGTACAAAATGGTTAAAGTGTGTTCTATTATGTTTTGTTTTAAACTTTAAGGTTTACCATTCTTAAAGTTTACCTCTCTCTTGCAATGTTGTATTGCAAAGTATTAATAATGATCATTGTCACATGGGTCTTATTTCATTATTCATTTTTGTGTTGTGTATATTTTTCTGTTATGTAAACTTAAAATGTTAAAGAGTTTATTTTTGTATATATAAATTATTATTGAATTGCCATAAAATTCATTTTTGCTGAAGGGTTATTGATATTGCACTATATTATACTTTGTATTTTAAATATTAAAACTATCTATGTTAAGGGCTTTTATATTGTGATATTGCCTTTTGTATTTAAAGTATTTTCATTATTATAATTAATGTATTCTTGTTTAAGGGTTGTCTTGTTCACCTATTATAACATGAAAGAGCTTGTACAACGCCAGGATAAAACAGCGCAGAAGTACAGTCGATTCACGATAGTTTTTTGCTGCTATTCTTGTCATTTTCATTGGTTTTAAACTTTAAAAGTTAGGGACGGTTTGTCTGACTTGAATATAAAGAGAAAACGAGTTTAATAATATGAGAAAATACTCTGCTTTCTTCCTCTTTTAGCTCAGAAAGATTACCATGTTAACCATCGTTTTCAACATTTGCACATGTATACTCGTTCGGCTCAGGTATTGTATTCCACGTGTAGTAAAAAGAATGTGATATGTCTTTATTTTATTTTCACACTATTCACACATTGCCATAGATAAAAATTTCCAAGGAAGATGTCGCTGGAGAATCCCGTAGTCTCGTACTCTCATGTTTTCTAGTAGCATCTGTCGTTCATAGGTTTATCGATATCTGGAGGCTAGATCCTTCCTATTTTAATTAAAGAGATGAAAAAGTGACGTGGATGACAATTGCACTCTATAAGAAGTGTGAAGTGGTTAATTATGTCTTTTTTTTTAGATATTCTGATAAAGAGCTCTCAATAGTTTAGAGTGGTGCTGTCGTACGCTATGTCTCACATCTACAAAGTCGAGAGTTTGTTTCAATTGGTAACCCTATAAAGTATTTATTTTCACATGATCCACATTGTGTCCAGTCTCTCTTCTTCAACTCAGTCAGGTCAGATACTTAGTTTTAAATTTGCATTACGTTTTCTGCTGTTCCACTAGTTATTACTACTAGTTTGATAACCTTCAGATGTACATTGGCTAAAGGACAAACTGAGAAATTTTAGAAGCTTGCATAGCCATCCCTATTTTTGAATTGTTGACCAGAAGGAAGGTAATCACTCCTCAGCACCTGCCGCCTATGTTGCTATTATTTACCAAGCAACCGAATTGATTCTCTCAGTTAAACGCAAATGTGGAGCGTGTTCAGTGTCATATGGCTGATCAAATCTTGAACCTTCTGATCAGCAAGCCTGGAACGTTAACTACTAGGCCCCGCCTTGCCCTAGCTGTATGGCATAGACACTAGTTTACGTACCTTCACGTGTTCAAATTTGTTAGAACGTTCCAAATAATTCCTCCGTGGTTTTAAAAATAACGCTATTTTCACTGGAAAATAGCAATGCGTTTCTAACTAAAACTTCATCAGGGAATATAAATGAAGGTCCACTTCATCCTGTTAACATTAAATAGGTTTTAGAAAATAGCATTTACTTTACAGCAAACGAATTTTTAAAGGGACGCAATTTTTGTGGAAAAGTATTAAAACGAATCTCAAATTAAAATGTTTAGTCACATTAATCCGATGGAGTTAAAAATATTATTAGAAATTAATTGGCACTTATGATTACCATAATATAAAATTATAAATATGAAATTGTTTATCAAGTGAAATTCATAGCTTTTCTTTTATTAAAGCCGCAGAAGCTTATTTATTATTTCTTTCTAAATATATCAACCAAGAATTGACACAAATTCAGGATTAATTTTTAAACATTAAAACTATCTCAAGTTTTATGTGTAAGTAAGTCATACGAAAGTTGTCCTTTTGTCAGAACCTCACGAATCCAGAGAGTTTCACATTTCTAGCTTTTAAGTGGAATGAAAAGTTGCTTAATATCATGAATAAAACTAATTATTTGAACTTTCTGATTTAGACTAACCAGAGGGAATGATTTATTTATAATTAAGCACAAAATTGCAAAATGGGCTATCTGTGCTCTGCCCACCACGGGTATCGAAACCCGGTTTCTAGCGTGGTAAGTCCGCAGACATACCGCTGTGCCACTAGGGGCTTGTTTATTTTTAAACAATGAACTATCTGTGATGTGCCTATCACAGGTATCGAAACCCTATTTTTTGCGTTATAAGGCCGTAGATTTACCGCTAAGCCACCGGGGGTTAGATGGAAAGAACTTTACAACTGTTCATTAATTTTATTTTGTGATTAGTTCTGAAATTTTGTTTTTATTTTTTCTTACTATGAATTCCGTTATAATTATCATATAAACCAAGTTTACAATGTGTTTCTACATATAATCAACTTTTATGAAATGCTACTTTAGTCATTGGTCTTGTTGTTACTTTTACACCTTTTAAGTAGAATAATTTTGTGTTATTCAAATGTAATAAATCAATTTATGGATTTGTAGCAAGATTGTAACTGGGCCATTGCACGCAGTATGTATTGTACAAATAACTATCACAAAACTAAAACTATACTGCATGAATATATCTTTAAAATTGTGTTTTTTACTTGGTTTCAGTGTGTGTATGTGTTTTCACATAGCAAAGCCACATCGGGTTATCTGCTGTGTCCACCGAGGGAATGGAACTCCTGATTTCAGCATTGTAAATCCGAAGACTTACCCCTGTCCCACCGGGGAACTTACTTGGTTTCAGAGGAGAGTGGAGGGGGGGGGGTGCGCCAGTGCACTTGAAAAGTTTATGTACTGTTAAACATTTCATTTCTTTTATTGTTATTTACTTAAATTGTTTTAAGAGATATTTTTCACATACAATCCGTGCACAATTTGTCTTTACAAAACACGCGAACAATAAAGCGCAAGGAAATGTTTGTAACAAATTAATTGAGTTGAATTATATGAATTCTCAGTTATAGGATTTAAATACAAATTTTACAGTTTTTATTCTCCATCCCAACATTTTCTTTATACTTTTAATCGTTATTTCTCTAATCATCGCTATTTATATTTCATGATTTTTTACCTATTTGAGTTCAATCAAAATCAATTCCTTTGATTTATCTACCTGTTTGATGTTTTTTGTTATGCACAAAGCTGAACAATAGGTTATTTGCTGTTTGCCCACAGCGGTGATCGTCATAAGCCCTCGAGCTTACCACAGAGCCATCTGAGTCCTTACTGTTTAAAGTTTTACCGTTTACAATGCCATTGAATATTATAGAGATTCTCAGTATTAATCAAAGTAATCCTATGAAATCATTCTAAAGCTATACAGAAATGCTGCTTTTAATGTGTTAGGAAGGTTTTTGAGGGAAAACTAAAACATAAATTTTTCTTAGATTTTGTGTAAGATTTTCGACACTTCGTTTCTTGGCTCCTATAAGTTCAAACTACGTTACAATTTATTTATCACTTTATGAACGCTAATTTCATTACTAGAAACCCTCTTTCATTCTTATTCGGAATTTATTATCCCTGTTTGACAGAGCTAATGTTTTCATGTTGTCAAGCTTCTTCATACTTTTTATGAAATGTTTACCAGACTCGGCTCACTTTTCAGACAATCAGATACAGTCTCTTTTGGGTAACAAAATGGTGAGATACAATCACTGGATGTATAGTTTCCGCCTCCAACCATTAAGCTAACGTCCCATATCAAAACATTTTCGATTCATCAGTATATTCAATAGGCAGAAGGTATCATCAGGTTTCTCCGCTCTCTGGTGGCGCGAGAAACGTCACATCACGTGATAGCGAGGTGACAGCTACCGAGTGCTCTAAATACCAGCTATCAACCAATAAACGATTATGTAGTCTTGTCAGTGGATCGTACCCAGCTGTTTTACGTCCTAATAGATAATCAGCTCTTATGAGTGCTGTAAGTAGGTTTGACAGTAAGTGCTTAGCCCAAAGTGCAAGAAGATTTCTCGTCGAATGTAACACTTTCCACTTTCTGGTTGAGACTGTGTAAAATTATATAGTTTAAATCAACATATTAAGGATTGCTATTGACTATCGTGAAATATATATGATTCTATATATTATAAATGTTTTCATTTCCATCTAAGTACCATAATTTAACAATAGACAGTGAAACTAAAAAACAGACACATTTTCTAGGTTTAAGGCAGGCGTAGACTAACGGCTAGTGTACCGAATTGTGAATCGGAGAGTCTAGGATGCGGCTCTTCTTACCAAAAAATTCACCCCCTCCTCTTTAAGATCGTGAGTGCATTGTAAGATTGACGGTCTAATCCCACTGTTGAATTAGAGTAGCCAAAGAGTTAATGGTGGCTACAGTTGACTAGCTGCCTTCCCTCTAGTCTGTCAGTTCAAAATTAGGGACAGCTAGTGCAGATAACCCTTGTGTAGGTTTGCACGAAACAAACTTTCTGGGACATAAAAGATACGTAACTAAAAATCTTTAATTTTGATAATTTCTTCAGCGAAATTATTAAGTAAATATATATATATTAAAGTCAGTAGTGAACGCCAAGTTCTCTGACGTTAAATTGTGGATTAAATGTTGACCTGTTCACCATAATAAAAACGTCCCAGAGATATTCTTTGGATTTAAACAATGATCAGTTTCTGGCGAATCCACGAACACTCTTGCTCGTGTTAATCCATAACGGTCCTGGCTGTATGACATTGACCATTATTCTGAATCAGAACAAAGTGTAGTCAGATTGTACACACAAAAGGTCACACAATTTAGCCCAGCTACCAAATCAGTATACTACAGAAAAGTAAATCTGCCCTTCAGAAACCCAATAAAATGTATACGTGTATATTAATGTCTCCTCACACCGTACCTGAAACATTACCAAAATAGTCACATTCAAAGACCTTTGTATTAAGTATATCAATCAGTATACTACAGAAAAGTAAATCTGCCCTTCAGAAACCCAATAAAATGTATACGTGTATATTAATGTCTCCTCACACCGTACCTGAAACATTACCAAAATAGTCACATTCAAAGACCTTTGTATTAAGTATATCATCCACCTCTTGCTTCCCAGACATGAATCGTTAATCATTGGTAGGAATAAAACAAAAACAAAACCTTGACTCAACTGAGCGAGTGCCCAGTGGCGTTGCTGTTAAGCCTAATGATCTGGACAAGGTCTACGCAAAACGTGTGGTCAATTGTTCAGCTAGAACAGATCTTTTCTACTTTAAGCCACATTCATGAAGACTTTGCGTTATAATTGAATACTAATAATTACTTTAGTTACTGTTCTAAATGTCATAAGGTGTAAATAGTGGCTACTAACTCGGTGTAGTTGACCTTCCAGGGCCTTGTCTAGGCTATCTAGTCTATGAAAAAACTGTCACAGCCGTCTCACAACTTTCTCACTAAAGGCCTGGATACATCAAAATGAGCCCCCATTTGTCTGTTTATGTATCCAACGCTTGAAGTCCTCTGTAATTCAGCACTTCTATATAAAACATTCGCTCACTACCAGATGGTAACATTGTTACGTAGTTATATTGAAACAATAAGCAAAATGGAATAAATAAAGAAAACAGAAAATGATTACATCTGAAGCAGAAATGCGGATACTGCCTTTCCTGGACGGATAGAATATGCAAAATGTACCGAAACAGCCGTGTACATACAACGCAATACAGGAAAATAGAACATGCAACTAATTTTCCAGACTATACTATTTATGTTTTTAATATTTTGTATAACATATATATATATATAAACACTAGGTGTTGAAAAGTTACGTAATGCAAGTAATATAAAGTATAAATTATAAGTTAGTTTTCTAGTTTTAACTTCAAATTTATATCTCATGTTTTATGAATAGGATTTTGTTATTATGATTTATTTTATCTTTTTAAAAAAATGGCCATGACATCTGATACATTGCAGTATCATATTAATTGAAATGTCACTGAGTAAATGAATACAGTAAATTAACAAATTGATAATTAATATAATAAGTACGACTACATGTCCAGTTCCATGGCAAAACTGTATGATTATCTAGTAACAATAGCAGGCACCACAGCAGTTATTTCTGTGGAACATTTTATCTTGCTTTGTTGGAAATGTTTGTTCTTCAAAGCTCGTGTTTGATATATATATATGCACTTTGTATACAGAAGCTGCTAAAAATAGAGGTAAAGTATTCGTGCTTCGTTCGTGGATTTTATTCTTATATCAGACTTTTAGTAATTTTACCTAAACTCTGTCTTAATAAAAAAGGAGAAAATCTATCGAGTTTGTTGTACTGAACTTTATTTTATTTAATTTACTTGCAACAAAACAAATTTTCTACAAAGTGCGGATAACATACTTTTTTATTTAGAAACATGCTTATTATAATGTCTTTGTTTTATTTCAATCATGTATGTAATTTTTTAAAAACCAGAATGTATG